CATCTAGTCTATTCGTCCCGAAAAATGGTCGCCAACAGGAGTTTGAGCCCGCGAATTCCTGGTGTGACACTAATCCTTTAATTAGTTTTCTCATAGGTCTCCCGAAAAGGTAGCGTTGCATGATTCATGTACACGCGTAAAAAGTGCAACCTGTTCCCGGTTGATATCGACATGTTTGAACAAGGTTGTCAGGGTCGTTCCTATAGCGCGATAATAGACCTTTCCCCTTATAACCAAAATTTTGATCTACAGTGTGTATCAAGATAATTCGAATCCAAATTTGGCGTGTAATAACGCAGAATATATTTGACAAATTCGGGTGGTTTTTACACCATTGTTAAGTTCATTTATTTACCTTTCAAATGACATGCTGTACGCGTCATTTAGTTGGAAAATGAAGGAGTATTGCTTTGACAAAAAAAGTCCATAAAAATCACAATTTTCCGCCGATGGGAATTGGACATTTTTTCTTTCAAAGTTAGTCCCACAAGGCTTTGAAATGCTAATCATTGCTGAAAACTAAAATGCAAATTTAACGTGAATTTCTTCTCGTTCAACATGTTGAAGGCATAGCTAGGAGCCAGCCTAGTCCCAGTCGTTCTGAAGCAAGCGCGAGAAAAAAACGTGCATATAGTGCGAGACTAGGACCTAGGTGTGACGTCACCGCTAAAGGTGTTTCAGAACGACTAGCAGATTTCAGTATTTTTAATATGGCGAAAATTTAAATAATTTTACAAATAACCTTGTAAATACGACAATGTTCGTTGATCATGTTCGATGTCTACATAACCAAATTCATACTGTATTAAAAATGTGCTCAATTAAAAAAGAAATATATACAAATTTACGATACTGAGTCTGAGCAATGGTCGTATATTCGTTGATGTTATTTATATACTCGAAAGTTGTGATCAACACTGGACCATACTGGTTTACAAAACTACGCTTTCTACTTGACAGGTTTAATATAAGTAGCTGAGGAGATTGAAAATATTTGCCTGACATGACTGTGTTGTCAAAACATTTTTAGTCGGAGACTCGGCATAATTTTCAAGCTTCTAGATAGCATTTAATATGGCTTATATTTTAGTAAACACGAGTCATATTTAGCCCCGTTATTCCTTTCTGACCGTATGGTAGCGAAACGTAGCCTATTTCATTGTTCCGACAACATTAGAGCGAAACTAATGACTTAATTATAAACGCAAAAGAAATTTCCATAAATTTTCTCTTTACAAACGCGGTATGCTTGGTAACCAGGCCAGGGACCACTTTTTTGAAATCAGGGACCATTTTACCGAAATCTGCTAGGCTCTCTCGCTGAAGTGTTCCGCACAGGACACCCAGGCATAAAACTTTTAAGACTTATTTAAATATACCAAAGCAGCGAATAGAGAGAGAGCCTGGGACTAGGCTGGCTAGGAGCTTAAATCTCTTTAAATGAACACGAATTTATGTAAATTTTGCTACATAACAGTTTGTTGATTAATTAAATTTGCATTATCTTTTGTTTGTACGTCTCACTTCGAATTCCCACCGGCGGAAAAATTTGATTTCGAGCAACCAGTTTTAAAACACGATTTCTTGGTCATTTTTGATCTTATTGATATAAGAACGATATAATCGGAAACCTAATAGGCTATTCTTTATTGCCATATAAAAATTATATGGTTTACTTTAGTATTTCATAAACAGCAGTCTGTCAAATTTGGATTCGAATTATTTTGATACACACTGTATAGGCAAGTCTAGACAAATATTTCATCACAGCTTGAAAGACCATCACAAAATTAGTAATATTCCAAAGTTTCGTTGCGAAATGTTGTAAAATGAGGAAAATAGAGCCTTGCAACTGGTTTGCAATTTTCAGTCATTTTGCATTACAAACGTGAAATTGCAGCCCCAACACCCGAATCGGATGTCAATTTCCCGTTTGTAATACAAAATGACTGAAAATTGCAAACTTCGCAAGGCTATATTATCCGCATTTTACAAGATTTTGCAACAAAACTTTGGAATATTACTAATTTTGTGATGCTTTTTCAAGCTGTGATGAAATTTTTGTCTAGATCGAAATTTTAGTTATAAGGGGAAAGGTCCATTGGGGGAGTGTATATTCATATCTTCATGTTCTGCCCGACGGATTCCTTTTGAAAGCGATTGCTTTTAAGGTATGTGAACATGAATATATGAATATACCCCCCCCCCAATTATCGCATCTAGGAACGGCCCTGAAGGTTGTGCTGTACCCTAAGAACAAGTTGTCAACAATGTTGTTACAGCATGTTCAGCGGTAACGATGCTGTAGCCTGTAACAACATTGTTGACAACTTGTTCTGAGTGATCTGAGGATGCAGCACAACCTTGTTCAAACTGGCCTGTCTATATCAACCTTGCCAACAATATGGAACAATATTGTTGAGCCTGAATCGGGTGTAACAATATTGTAAGTTCAATATAGAAAACCATAGCCCATAGGCATAGGTCTCCCGAAAAGGTCTTTTATTTTTAAAAAATCCGTAAAATTGCTTTAATTAAATGCTTATATTCTCGGTTGATTAATCTACACTAAATTCTAAAACCTAAAAACGATCAGGTTGTTGCAATATATATTGATGTAAACAGGATTGAACAATGTTGTGCTGCCCACATTGTTCACAGTTGTCAACAAAAAGTAAATTAATAACAAGTGCTACTTCTTGGTGAATAATCTAGGGATTTGAGTTACTTGGATTCAGATCCCAATCACGCGCGAACATGCACTGATGTATATTAATTGAGGAAATTTTAAAACCTGAAAATAAGCAGTTGTACGTCATGAAGAGAAAGGCTACTCCATGAATTTGGCCATTGACTCGATTTTTTATGCTTGAGGGCCGAAATACTACGAAATTTGGGTAAGGACTTCAGACTTCAAATTTCAGATTTCAGACTTCAAATTTCAGTCTTTAGAATTCAGAATTCTGAACTTAGCGTGCCAAAACGTCTAGCTGGGGCCGGTTGACCGGTTGTATAAAACTCTCTGATCACTTTTTTAATCACTATTTTGTAGTTAAATAGTGATTAACTCTCAAATACGCGCCTCTTATTGGATGACGTTTCCACTAACTATAGTTAACTTTGATCACTTTTTTATACAACTACCCCCTGGAAATCGGTTCATGCATTTCACCAAAAGCGTCTTAAATATGTTAAATTTTTAGGTTATTAATCCATTCGACTTCCAAGGCCGAGAAATTCTAGGGGGTCTGGGAGCATGTCAGTTTCCCCAAGAAATTTTGAAAATGGTCTGAAACGCAATCTCCTGTTGCGAACACTCTGGTCCGCAGGTTCGTTGGAAGCTGGCGATGAGTTAAAATGTGCGGAACGAGCATGCTCTTGGTGCGAGATTGATTATAATATACCCAAGGATCGCAGGCTCGGGGAACGAGATTGCATTTGACGTTTCACATGTAAAAAAATTTACCATTTCACGAAAATTAAGAAAAACTTTTTAACTGTATAAATTTTATTTTCTAGTTTGTGTATTTAATGCCTTTCTTAACCCATTAGTCTATATTTGGGCGAAACTAATTTCACTACTGAAAGCTTAACATTGAAAATCTTTTAAAAGCAATCGATCTATCTAGTGAAAATCAAGATAGCTCTTCTTTACGTTCACACTTCACTGCCACTTGTCCAGTCTTTGTCCTACCGGCCTCAAATTTAAAGTATTCTCGATCGCAACCAAGACAAAAATTACCGACAAATACGGCTCACGATTAGATATTTAGGTCCCTCACAAACGTCGCGCTTCTCATTTGCCGAAGCATTAGAAACAATAGATAATGAGGTATATTTCAGGTTGTTTTTAATATGCGTTCGGCACATGAGAAGTGCGACATTTTAAACAGGCCTTAAATCACGTTTCACGAGACAAAAATCCGTGCATTTACATATTTCACGAGTCAGAGCAAATATTAGCCATTCACGGCTCACAAAAATACCCTTTATTTCGTTCCCATCATGCATCACACACCTCCGTTCACTGTTCTATATATGTACGATAGGTACTGGGTGCGAGTCAGCCTTTGTCTGTCAGCTCTCGTCTCTGGGTGCGAGTCAGCCTTTAAGCATGCGCGAAGAAAATCAATATGGCGACATATATTAGGAGTGTTTCGTGAATTTATCTGGTTTTAAAGCTTGATAAAACAACATTTTAATGAACGAAAACTTTGTGTCTATAAGAATGTATTTATTTAATTAGGGTCAGTTTGATAAAAAGTTCGACGTCCGCTCTCCACCGTCCGTGTCCGCGTTTGATCTATGCCCGAAATAATCCCGAATTACGCCTGCCTATTTGCCCGCGCCCTAGAGCCTGGGCCTCCTGTGCTGCTACACGCAGGAGGATCCCCTCCTACGGTAGAGATTATTGGTTTTGTAGGGGGTAGGGGATACCTACGCGGAAACAGGTAATTTGTAGGGGAGCGTCACCCCGTGGGGGGTTCATTATAGTTTGACTTTCGATCGGAAATTGTTATTGCTATTTATCAGTGACGTAGGCAGGATTTCTAGTCAAGAGGGCCGAAAAAATCCCAGGAGGGTCGAAGCAACCTTACCATGCGCTGGTTCGAATAAAGTTTGTTTTAATATTATATGCGAATGTATATAGACTCCCACGCCGTCCATGCATAATATAGTACGGGTCGGCGTCCGGGGGTATGCTCCCCCAGGAAAATTAATTCTTAGAGGCTATTTTATCTTATTTCATAACCATTTAACACATAACAACTCTACTTAATCACAAACAAATGCAGAACATTTAAAACAGCAAGATATAAAATTTCCATTACAAGAAATGAAAATATAATGAACATCTGGTCAGAATTTTTCCAAGGGGGTGGGGGGAGGGCAATATTTTGCCAGGGGGTACTACCGTCACTGCTATTTATGGCACATTTATCACGTTTCATACGGGAAAAGGCACTTTGGATAGATTAAAAACTTTATTTACCCACGCTAGCATGTCAACCGAGGCTGATTTCCAAAGTGAGTTTTTAAAACTTGATGGAGATGTGGTCCAGTTCTTAATTTGAGATCAGGTACTGGTGAAAATATTTTGTGAAAATATACCATTGAAATATTGGATTTTGGATACATCTTCCAAAGATGGCTGGCGATCCTGTGTGTATCGACGATTTTGAAAAGCACGCTCAAGAATTTCTACCCAAGACAGTCTGGAATTATTATTACAGCGGTGCAAATGCACAGCAAAGTCGCGAAGATTGTGAGAATGCTTTTAAAAGGTATCGTGAAAGAAGTAGAACCGGGTATTAATTAAGAGATAATTGTTGGTACTTTAATGGGCCATTCCATATTTTAATATAAGCACCCCCCTCCCCCCTATTGAGGGGTCTGGTATCCTATGGGGGGGGGGAGGAGGGGTTTTTACCTTAAATTTTCCTATAGAGGGTAGCTTAAGAGATTTTCAAAAAAATAGCAAAAATTAGGTGTTTTAGTGGGGTAACTTCCAAAAATCACATCCAAGGGGGTTCTAAAATTTTTTATCCTAAGGGGACTATGAAGGGACCCCTCAATAAGGGGGGGGGTGCCTAAATGAAATGGAATGGCCCAATACTGGAATTAAAGATAGCTTTAGTTTAAACGCCTATGTTTAAAAGCTTGAACTGTCTGTGCCAGTATAGGTAGTGCCAAAAGCATTAACAAGCTTTCGTTGGTAGGGATGCATGTACCTGAAAAATATAATATAAGAAGAATTTCTCCTTATATTTTTCAGGTAGTTGCATCCATTCCCTACCAACCTAAGGGCCATTCCATTTAATGTCCACTCCCCCCCCCCTGCCTCTATGGACGAGAATTTCTGAGGGGGTTCAAAAAAGTCATTTCTGTTATGGTCATCGGTATCCTTTGATCTTAGCGAGGGGTAAGGCAAAAATTTACAAATTTCTGAGGGTGTGTGTGCATCAGCACTTTGATATTTTTTTTGTTGGGGGTTCAAATTTTACTGAGTTCATCCGTAAGAGGGGGGTTGGTTTTTTTTGGAATGGCTCTAACCGAGTAAAAACCAACGATTCCACGAAAGCTTGGAAATATGTTTAAAAGCACCTGACAACAGCCCAGCACTTTAAAGGTTTCAATTATGTATAAATACCATAACCCCAATATGTTCCATTTTGTATAAATGTTTATATTCTATAAATCAAGTAATTTTTGTATTTTTATTGCATATATAACAGTGGCGATGCTAGCCAATGGTGAGTGATTTGCCAATGGCAACTAATAAGCCTGCATCTAAATAGGTTAATTAAAGACAATGCATTTCTAAAGGTTTGAATAATGTACAGTACTGTAAATCACCAAAAATTTGCATAGCATGCATGACCTGTTGCTATGGCCACAGGCGGCCCAATCTCTGAACGTCCTATATATTTTGAATATTTAACCGTTATAATATTTTAAAATAACAAAATAATTCAAAAAATATTAACAATATATGTAAAAAAATATATCTCACTTGTTAATAGAATCCATTTGTTGTGTTTCTGAGTTTAGTTGATGCGATTGCTTTACGTTTTCGTCGTACTTGAACGGTCGTCAGTACTGGCACTGAACGACATGGCCGTATAGGACATAAATAACTACAAGGCTAGCCACTTATCTGATATACTCTCCGACATCGAGTCCAATATCTCGCCTCAGAATCGTCGCAGAGCAATAAATTTCACATCGCCTAATAGCACGAACGTTCCTCTTTCGAAAGAACTTGGTTTCTTCACCATTGCGGCAATTCCTGCGACACACGACGAACTTTGTTTGTCAAAAGTCACAAATTTCCATTTTCGACAGAACCGCTAACCCCATGATCGTCGCCACGAGAGCTGCTCAGCAACCTGGCCTCCTCGTTTGAAAACATTCCATCAGGGGGGGAGGAGCTGGACTGGAATGAGGGGGCTTTCAAAGCAACACGATAAAACACACAATATAAATTATTACTTTATCATGCTGTATTCGACAATAAACAAGTATTAAATATTTATATCGTGTGTTTTATCGTGTGTTTTATCGTGTTGCTTTGAAAGCCCCCTCATTCCAGTCCAGCTCCTCCCCCCCTGATGGAATGTTTTCAAACGAGGAGGCCAGGTTGCTGAGCAGCTCTCGTGGCGACGATCATGGGGTTAGCGGTTCTGTCGAAAATGGAAATTTGGACTTTTGACAAACAAAGTTCGTCGTGTGTCGCAGGAATTGCCGCAATGGTGAAGAAACCAAGTTCTTTCGAAAGAGGAACGTTCGTGCTATTAGGCAATGTGAAATTTATTGCTCTGCGACGATTCTGAGGCGAGATATTGGACTCGATGTCGGAGAGTATATCAGATAAGTGGCTAGCCTTGTAATTATTTATGTCCTATACGGCCATGTCGTCCAGTGCCATAGTACTGACGACCGTTCAAGTACGACGAAAACGTACAGCAATCGCATCAACTAAACTCAGAAACACAACAAATGGATTCTATTAACAAGTGAGATATATTTTTTACATATATTGTTAATATTTTTTGAATTATTTTGTTATTTTAAAATATTATAACGGTTAAATATTCAAAATATATAGGACGTTCAGAGATTGGGCCGCCTGTGGTTCCGGCCAGAACCCTGATTTTTTAGAGTTCCGTTTCCGGCTGGAACTACTAAAAATAGCATGGCCGGAACCGGAACTCTGTCATTTTCAGAGAGATAGAATATCAAACGTTTTGTGTCTAACAAAAGGTCACAGTAGGAGGAAATTTGGACTATGCAAGGGGAATGTACACTATTAACCAGCGTTCTAATGAGTCGAGTCATTGACTTGACTAGAGTCGACTCGAGTTGCTCTTTTCAGCGACTCGACTCCAAAACGAAAAATGACTCGACTCGAGTCAACAGCCCCAAATGACCTGACTCGGACTCGACTTGCTGATTTTGCCGTAAATGACTCGAGTCAACTCAGCTACAACTTGTAGAGAATAAATTCATAAAAATATTGTGATTGTATTGCTTGGGAAGAACAATGAGCCATGTGAACAATGAGAATTTTCGAAATTTTATCCGAAAATATATGGGATTTGCATAGAATACAGTATATTCCTGACGGGCATGCCTATATTACATTTCTGTTTTTAGAAACAATGCTAGTGCCACAGTTTTTAAAATGGAGTCTCAAAATTTTTTGTACTTATGCTAATTCTGACCGGCTATCTTCATTTTTGGTATTTATGAAGTGCTATATAATTTCAAATTAACTTACAAAGCATGGTTAATTAAAGTCTATTCTTTGTTAATTCTGACTCCAGTTGCAAGTTATGCTCGTTGTATATACGTACACTCGATCAGCAGGCATGATGAGACATCTCATGTGGTTGTACTTAATATTGACTAGAACTGTGATATTGGTACAGCCTATGGCTGCCCAGATACTGTTATTACATGATTAAAGTGATTAGCTTAAAACGTAGATTTGATTACTAATTTCAAACTGCAAGCTAAGGTAGCGAACCATTACAAAAAGTGTGAGGTGGACCATTTTTGTCCCCAGAGTCATTTTCACTCAGTCACTTGTTGAAAAGTAGGCTGTGGGTTAGGCGACTAAAGCAAGAGATCTGATTGGCTTCTCAGAGAAATCCTATTTCGCAGAAGTTGAGCAAATACAACGCAAATACTTTGTTTCTTCGTAATACTTCACTTTGAAAATTGTTACGGGTGCTAAAGTGTCCCAATTCAAGACCATGCGCTTTAGAAACTACTGCAAGTTTACTTGCACTTCCGGTTCTGTATGTTCCAGGGCCCTAGGGAGGACGTGTGCGGCCGAGAGGCCCTGGGGACAAGGATGTGGGTGGACTTGTATGCATGCACAGTTTACCGCGGGTGACATGACACCGTTGGTGACATGACAACTTTTCATTTGGTCAAACAAATGGGTAAAATTAGGTGAAGTAAAAGAGTGTTCTGACTGTAATTTTTAAACTCAATACTAAATAAATATCTTGTCGACCGAACAAATGTTACTCACGCTAAAACCTATTGCGCTAAAGTGCAAAAGTCATAAACTGCTCAATTATTTATTTGCAGACAGAATACTCCGTCTGTAATTGTAAAGTCTAATTAATTCTCTTTCTCGACCACCCCCTTTCGCATCAGATTACGACACAATTTTTCTAATATAAATATCTCGGCGAGTATTTACCCCCCTTGTAAATAAAAGCCACCATTGAAATCCTCATAAAATAACCTTTCGAACGGGGGGGGGTTAAGTGCCGTCAGAGAATTACACAAACCGAAACAATCATATATTCACTCACTGCTTGGCCAAAGATTCTAGATTTCATATCTGCAAGATCTTGAATATCTCTTGAACATTTCGTCATTTTCTGAACGGCTATATGTATAGGTTATTTTGAGGCAACAAGGGGATATGTGATTTATTCACCGAGGCACGTAGCGCCGAGGTGAATAAACACATATCCCCGAGGTGCCTCAAAATAACGTACTTATTTTTCACACTGCGAGGTCGCGTTAATGAGTCAGAATAGAAATAATTCTTAATGTCATATTGCCTTCATTATGTTGTTTTTTTCTCATTTTTTTGTGCTGCAAAGACATTGCAGGTGAATATTAGAGGGGATTATTAAACGGAAATTGATTAGAGGGGAATATTGAATATGTTCCCCGATAAGAACAAAGGAAACCGAGCAGGGTGAAAAATAAGTGTAAAATACTCTTTGTATCCAAGCGCTTTCGTGTAG